TGCAGAGGACCCAGGTTCTGTTCCCACCACCCACATGGTGGCCAACAACTGTCTGTAACTCCAGTTCCAGGGGATCCAATGCCTTCTTTTGGCTCTGCAGGCATTGCACAACATGGGTGCACTTACATACATGCATGCAAAATACTCATACATATAAAAAAATTTTTTTAAAGAGTTGGGTATAGTGGCACATGTCTTTAATCCCAGAACTCAGGGGGTAGAGGCAGGCAGATCTCCGTGAGATTGAAGTTGGTCTGGTCTACACGATGAGTTCCAGGCCAGCAGTGGCTACAGGGAGACCCTGTCTCAAAGAGATGAAGATAAAGATGAAGAAGAAGAGGAGGAGGAGGAGGAAGGAGGAGAAATACATCCTGTGACTTCCACATGCATGTGCTCATGCACCTACACACACACACACACACACACACACACACACACACACACAGAAATGTGTAATACTGGCTATGATCATAAACAATACAACAAATAATTCCAAGCATCCTCTTGAATAATTGCAACTATAATGTTTGATTTAAAGCTTAGGTACTGAACTTTCAACACTGTTAAAAAAAATTCAAATAAGCAGGGCCTTTTGAACCCAAATCTACAATAGTAAAACATAAATAAAATGGCTGTTTCCTCAACTACATTTGTGATCAACTTTAAGAGCACTTTTATTTAAGTATTTAGATATAACTTACAGTAAACTAAGTCTCAAATACATCTTGTGCTCAACATAAGAAAATACAACATGCGGGCTAAGCAGTTTTTACTAAAAACCAGAGTAAAAACCAGGTTGTGCACACCTTTAATTCCAACACATGGGAGGAAAAGGCAGGTGAGTCTCTGTGAGTTCCAGGCCAGCCTGGCCTACACATTGAGTTCCAGGCTAACTGAGGTTACAGGGATACTCTGTCCCGTTCCCCCCAACACACACCAAAAGAAAAGTAACTTAGGGCCTGGAAAGATGATTCAGGTATTAAGAGCAGTGGCTGCTCTTGCAGAGGACCTGGGTTCAGTTCCCAGCACCCACATGGCAGCTAACAATCATCTGTAACTCCAGTTCCAGGGGATCCAATGCCCTCCTCTGACCTCTCTGGGCACTGCACGATATGGGTGCACTTACATACATGCAGGCAAAATACTTGTACGTGTAAAGTAAAACTAAATAAACTCTAAGAAAACAGTAAAAAAGAGTACATGACAATAAAATAATAAGAAAAAGGGGCTGGAGAGATGCCTCAGCAGTTAAGAGCACTGTTGCTCTTGCAGAAGACCTGGGTTGAATTCCCAGCTCCCACATGGCAGCTAACAGCCACCTGTAACTCCAGTTCCAGGGAGTCCGATGCCCTCTTTTGACCCCTGCAGGTGCTGCACAACACAGGTGCACTTACATATACACAGGCAATATACTCACACATACAATTTTTTAATATATTTTATTTTTAAAATTTTTCATTTTTATTTTATGTGTATGCTTGTAGTCCTGGCATATAGGTAAGTGCACCCATGTCGTGCAATGCCTACGGAGGTCAAAAGAGGCTGTCAGATCCCCTGGGACTGGAGTTACCAACAGTTGTTAGCTGCCATGTGGGTGCTGGGATTCGAACCTGGGTCTTCTGCAGGAACAGCCAGTGTTCTTAACCACTGAGCCATCTCTCCAGCCCCCTTATTATTTTTATTTTATGCGTATGAGCGTATTGCCTGCATGTATGTGACTGCACCCATGTTGTGCAATGCCTCAGAGGTCAGAAGAGGGTATCAGATTCCCCTGGAACTGGAGTTAAGGACGGTTCGTAGCCGCCATCTGGGTGCTCGCAATCGAACCTGGGTCCTCTGCAAGAGCAGTCAGTGCTCTTAACTGCTGAGCCATCTCTCCAGCCCCACACATAAAACTTTTTAAAAAAGAAAGAAAAACACTTCATCACATGACCTTTCCATCTGACTGTGAATTAAACAAAACAGAAAAATCTTCAAAATGAGCCACCACAGATATGCTATTGATTTCATCAATAATTGTAAAACTCTCTTTATTCCTATTAAGAAAAAATAAATATCATTACAGGTGAAATCACTGAGGCATCATTCATGTGCTCCCCAAATCCAGTAAAATAATAAGCTCAGCTATAAGGGAAATAAAGCTACTAATGAGCATCCTCCACACAGGCACATTTATGTTTTCAGCCTTAGCATATTTTCAAACCATCTGGCATCAATGCCTCTCTGGTTTGCCAGCCTAATCTGTTCAAAATTGAATATAAAACTAGAGCTGTATGCATTGTGGGGAAACCAGAGACCAGCACACATGTAGAATAATGTTCTGAATATGAAGCTGGAAGCTAGTTATACTTGAACTGTGTCTTTAAAACATTTCCACTGAAGACAAAAAGCACTTTTGAAAATACGAGAATGGTTCAAGAACTTTGAATGAATCATAGCTGTCATTAGTTACCCAAGTAACTAGCAGTTTCCCTCATTTTAATCTCAGCTGTTAAATAAAATATGTGAAGTGGCAGTGCTACAAAAAAGTCATTGCTAAATGAAATATTTGTTTTAATACTAAAATATCTAAGGGCCAGCGAAAAGGCTCAGTGGGTAAAAGAACTTGCTACCAAGCCTGATTACCTGAGTTTGATTCCCAGAACCCACATGATGAATGAAGAGTAAATGTGTCCTCTAACATACACATACACACCAGGCAGACAATAAATAAGTGTAAAAGAATTTAACATCTGGGGCTGGAGAGGTGGCTCAGCGGTTAAGAGCACTGACTGCTCTTGCAAAGGACTCAGGTTCGATTCCCAACACCCACATGGCAGCTACAAACCGTCCTTAACTCCAGTTCCAGGGGAATCTAAAGCCCTCTTCTGACCTCCATGGCATTGCACAACACAGGTGCACTCACATACATGCAGACAATACACTCATACACACCAAATAAAAATAATAAAATAGAAAAAAATTTTAATATCTAAGATTAGCTGAAATGGTGGTATACACTTGTAATCCCAACACTAGGGAGGAGGAGGCAGGAGGATTGTCATGAGTTTAAGGTCGGCCTGGGCTATATATTAAGCCTATGTCTCCAAACAAAATCTAAGATCATGCATTTTACTTTGCCTAAAATTAGTGTCTATATCCTTAAAATGCTTGGAGGAAGGAGAAAAAAATTTCATGAAAGCCCTTTTTCTTTTATGCCCTGTTACAAAATTACTGTCATTGGCAACACCCAACTTTTCTTTCAGAATCGGCACTGTAGGAATTAAAATAATCTATGAATATACTAGTGCCAATAGCCCTGTTAGAACCATCTTTTGTTAATCCCCATTACGAGAAAGTTTAGAAATGACTTTTTCAGGACTTATTTTTTCTTCAGAAACAAAGATAAGTCACATAGCACCTTATAACACACAAGTCAAAGCTTTCAAAGACTGAAAAACAATGATGGACACCAACAAATGTAAAGGTACACTTACACGTGTGTCTCCACTCTGTCTCTAGGTCTGTGTCTCTCTGTCTCTTCTGTCTCTCTGTCTCTGTCTCTGTCTCTGTCTCTCTCTCTCTCTCTCTCTCTCACACACACACACACCCACACACACACACACACACACCACACACCACACACCACACACACACACACACACCACAACACACACACCACACACACACACAACACAGCAAACGCAACATACAGTATTTCTCCTGGGAGGAGACTGCTGCTTCTTCCTCCCTAACCGTGAACCACTGTGCACCAACTGTGCATGCCCCTGGCATGAGATTTTAATTTGTTTGCTATCATGTTGCCTTCTAGAGAATTGCTGCTTCTTTTCAAATTACACAGAGCCCCAACCTAATCACCTCAAATTCTTTATCAGTCTTCTCACATTTTTCTCCTAGACGAGCTCTTCTGGTTTTTGTTTTCTTATTTGGTTTTGTGTTATTGCTGGGTTTTTTTTGTTTTGTTTTGTTTTAGGAGAGCCGGGCTGATGACAGAAAAGTGCTGTTGAATTCTGTTCTCTCCACCCTCATTTTTCTATCAACCCCATTCCTGGTTCCTAATTGCCTTGCCCTAGGTCTCTCATTGACTCCTCTCCCAGAGGCTTGATCCCTCAGCTAAGGATATCAAACCCGCAGACGTACTGAAACAAAGAATCTTAAGTCCCTTCACTTGGAACTTTGGAGTAAATGCACAGAAAAGGGCATGTGCCAGGCTTGGCTTTCCTGCATCAGACCCCATTCCTCTTCCTGCGCCTTGCCAGTCCTTCGTCCCCCTCAAGGAATCAGTCGTTCCCTTTAGGCCCCAAGGTTTGGAGATTCCTCTGGGCCATCGGTTCCTCCCCACCCCAAGTCTCTGCACTCACACCCCGTCTGCCTACAGAAAGACAGATGTGTTTCCATCCTCTATTAACTTCTGCCCTAAAATCCAGACCTTTCTCAAAAATCGTAATACAGTTCTCAAAGATGTAACTCCGAGTCTTCCCCGCCAAGGTTTCCCGCGGCTGCGACCCCAAAGCCAGCGCACCGGCTCCAACAGGGAGACCTTTCCCCGACTCCTCCGAGGGGCTGCGCTGTGTCCCCTAGAGGAGCCCCACGCCCCTGTGGGCAGCGCTCGCGATTCCTCTCGGGATCGGCGGGGCAGCTGGGGTCCCCGGTCCCTGCAGCATCCTCTCCAGAGAGACCAGGTCCCCATCCCCTCAGCACCCCCAAGTTGCTCAGTCCTCTCCCAAGCTGGGCGCTGAGGCTTTCCCTCCGGAGACCCCGCCCCGATCTCCCTCCTCGCCTGGAGCTGCATCTCCCAGGCTGCGGGGCAGGCCGGGTGCCTCCCGTCAGATGCCGCGCGCCGGTCTCGGGGGGTCTCTGCCCGCGGCCGCCCGCCCCCGGCCGAGCCCACGCCCGTCCTGAGCCTCTAGCCTTCTCGACCCGCCACGGGCTCCCACCCCGCTTCCCACCCGCAGCCCCGCGGCCCCGAGTCCCGTCGCCCCGCCGGCTCGCGCAGCTACCTGCAGGGGCCGCCGCGCCTCTCAGCGCCTCGCCGCCGCCATCTTGCATTTCAAAAAGCGACTGCACTTTTCAGGGAGTCAACTCTGACCCGTGAACCCTAACCCCGGAACCACTCTGCGGGCCGGCACAGGGCCCCTGGAGCCCCGCGGCCCGGCGGGAGCTGGAGGACCCCGGATGGGGGTGCGAGGGGACACGCGGGGCCCGAAGCCGGTCGGGAGCGGCGGGGAGGAGCCGGCCGAGGTGGGACCGGCCGCGCGCCTACACCCGGCGCCACTCTTGACTCCCCACGCGAGGACAACACCGCTCCCCAGGGAGGGGACCCTGGCCGCTCCCCCAGGTCTGCGAGCCGCTGGAGGTGTGCGCCCCGCCCCCTGTCAGGAGGGGCCACGCCCACTGTCAGGCTAAGCCCCGCCTTCCAGCGCCTCTCCGTGGCCCCGCCCCCAGCCCGCGTTCGCTCCGCCCTCTGTCGTCAGAAGCTGGGCCCCGCTGGGGTCAGGCTGCGAGGGCCGCCCCGCCTTCCGGGAGCTCCGCCCTCCCCCTGTCAACGCCGGATCCCAGAGGTAGGCTCGGGACTCCCACTGAAACGCCCGGGTTCTTCGCGGGGGCCGGACTCCTAAAGCCACGCCCCCCTTTTGAGCCACGCCTTCTGTCACTAGAAGCCTCGCCTCCGCCCGCTGTCAATAGTCCCGCGCTCCTGTCAACTGCAGCTCCGCCTCTTCTCGCCCGAGTCCAGCTCAGCCACAGCTCCGGCCGCGGACACCAAAAGTTGAGTTCGGCCCGGCTTGGAGCCGCCTGTGCCTGCGCCCCGCTCCTCAGGGGCCCCGTGTCCCCTGCGAGCCACTCACTCTCTCGCCGAGCTGTCTGCTCAAGCCCCGGCCTTCCGTGGGCACCAGCCGCTTGGCCGGCCGAGGACTTAGGCTTTCGGGAAAGCGGACGGCGTCTCCGCCCCTCCGCCCCTCCCCTTCCCTTCAGCCCCCCGCATCATTGTTAAAACCAAAGTAAACGAAAGCAAAAAGAAACAGCTCTCCCTCCAGGCTACTTGAGTGCCCTCGCGGTCCTGGATGTGAGCGCGCTTTGGCGCCTGGGTGTTTAGTCCCCGCCCCCATCCCATGCAAGGACCATTTGTGCCTTGATAGCAGAGCTGCACCAAGCCACATCAGTCCTAAAGTCTGTAGTTGCTGCTCAAATCGTCTTTAATTTCACCCTAAAATCCTAGAATTTGTGCATGCTGAGGTTTAATGATCCTTCCAGCAGAGGTGCTCAGCACTGCCCTACTCGGACCTCTGGACTTAAACTTTTTTTTGGTCTTTTTGAGACAGGGTCTCCCTGTAGCCCCAGCTGGCCTGGAGCTCACTATGTAGACCAGGCTGGTCTTGAAATCACAGAGATCCACCTGCCTCTGCCTCCCGAGTGCTAGGACTAAAGGCATGCGCCACCACTCCCGGCTTGGACTAAACATTTTAACAGCACTTCAGCCTCTTGGAATTAAATTCAGAATGTAAACTATTTCTAAAAAGTCAAGAAATCAATGTAATTGTCTAGTAAGGACAAAAAGAAAATTTATAATCTTATACTAACATCAGAAAAAGTAGTGTTTTTTTCACCATGTACTCTGGCCCCTCATAAGAGAACCACAAAACAAAAAGTGACCCCCACACACTTAATATGCTCCTCTACAGACAGTCCAGTGCTAACTGAGAACCTCAGTTTAGGATTTATCTCTGAGGAAAGAAAATATTTCACATACAGAAGTGCATTCTTTTGTTCATGCACTCAGCCACTGCTTATTGAGCATTATGTGTGCCCGGCTCTGTGGGAGAGGTAAAGCTGTTAGACCATCCAGTCATCCCTTCATAGCTAAAAGGGACTGTTCTGGAACCTTCCAGGACATCAAAATCAGAGTTGTTCAAGCCCCTGTATAAACTGGTATAGTATTTTTGCATCATCTATACAAATCCTCCCATGAGTTCATGCCATTTCTAGATTATTTATAACAACTAGCATAGTGTAAAATGCTAGGTAAATAGTTGTCATACTGTAACAGCTCAGGGAATAATAAAAACAAAGCTGACACGTTCAACAAGATGCAGTTTTTTACTGAACACTTTTGATCCACAGTTGGTCGTGGATATGGAGGCCATGGATCCAGAAGGCTGTGTTCTGTCTCCCAAGAGTTACAGCTTAGATGCCAAGCAAAACCTGTATAAAATGCATCCAAGTGAAAAGTGAGAAGAGATCAAGATAAGAAACAGAAAGAGGTGGTTTAGGGGTGTGGACTGATAATGTGAACTTCACCTCTCTGTCCCCAGCCCACACTTTTTTTTTCTTATTCCTCCTTTTAGCACCAGTCTCCTCCTTTCTGTTAAGTTGTCAGCCTGGTTCACTGCCTAATACCAGCAGCCCAGAATCTTCCCAATTTAAGGTCACACCCATAGGGCATTTCTGTCCAGGAAAACAATTTCAATAGCACAGTGCTGAGAACAATGTCCTTAGCTGAAGTGTTGCCAATTATCTGGTATCCTTGTACAAAGCAAGACTATTAACACCACTTGAAAGAACTGGTTGCAGATTTAAGCAATACGCATATATGTTTCACATAGCAGATTGTGCCAGCCTACATAAATCTGTTTAGAGACCATACTTACAGAGTAACTTGTTTTTATTAAAATAAACTCATTTATAAAAAAATTGTAAATATGACTGATTTTAACAGCTGCCATGGCGCCAGAAGCAAGCTTTACCCAGGGATTGGCACAGTTAGAAGTCTAGGGTTTTTATGCATAAGCTTGGCGTCTTGTCATACACAGACTGGCATGGGTAAAACTTCAGTACTGCTAGAGATGAGGAGTTGTTCAGTAGGTTTTTAAAAGCACAGCACTTTACTCTTTAGAGCCTCTTCCACCTTTGGAACAGTGAAAAAAATATTTGTAAGAAATGAAGAGCTTTGAGTACAAAGTTCTAAGTGCTGGGATCATCTGAAGAATAGGCTTCCAAAAGTACTTTTTGTAGAAGTTTCTTTCTGTTATTTTTCCTTTCTCTACCTTATGTGAAAAAGCCACTTTAAAAACATGATACTATGAAACAGGCCAAAAAAGACATCAAACTAAGACACTTCAAACATTTGCCTGTAGTTAGGTGAAGTTGAGAATTTAGTTGTCATGAAGAGGTACTATCATTCTTTAATGGCTAGTTCAGACTGTGAATAAAAATTTTCATGCTAGCTGAGCATGGTGGCACACGCCTTTAGTCCCAGTACTTGGGAGGCAGAGGCAGGCAGATCTCTGTGAATTCAAGGCCAGCCTGGTCTACATAGTGAGTTCCAGGCCAGCTGGGGCTACAAGGAGACCCTGTCACAAAAAGAAGAAGAAAAAAAAAAAGTTTGGGCTGAACAAACTTTCAAAGTCAATTTTGGGTCAAGTCCTTTCCTATTCTTACTGCTTGCTTGTGTAAATAATAAACCTATCAATAGTAACAACAGTAAGAAGTCATTGGCTACTGGAGAGATGCTCAGTGGTTAAGAGCAGTTGCTGTTCCTACAGAGGACCTGAGTTCAGTTCCCCGCACCTATATGGAGGCTCACAACCTATAGCTCCACTTCCAGGGAGTAAGACTGCCTCTTCCAGCCTCTGCTGGCACCAGGCATGCACATGGTACATGTGCATACAATACAAGCAAAACATTTATACATGTTTTTTAAAAAAATGGGGGGGAGTCCACTTGTAAAATGTCCTTGCCACTCTATTTCTCCCTTTTTAAAAAATATTTTATTATTTTTATTATATGTATACGTGTATTGCCTGCATGTATGTAAGTACACCTATGTTGCACAATGCCAGCAGAGGTCAGAAGAGGGCACTGGATTCCCCTGGAACTGGAGTTATGGATGGTTGTTAGCCACCATGTAGGTGCAGCCATCTCTCCAACCCCAAGGAGTAACACTTGGGTAGACTTTATATCTTAATCATGGTGCCACCCTGGGTTGAGTCACATATTAGTGTATACAATCATTTACACACACACACACACACACACAAATTTAGTGGCTGTGTCAGTGCAGGTGTAGAAAACTAAGGGGCATGTATCTTTTTTAAAGTAAAATCCTAGAACTTTTGGCTCATGCCTATAATTTTAGTCCAGACTACTGTGTAAGTTCCAGGCCAGTTTAAACCCTGTGTCAAAACATAAACAAAACAAAATAAAAAAGGCTTAGGACACAGATAACCTTGGGGGAACACACAACTGGCTGGCAGCAGGAGGCTGAGGAAGTGCAGTGATCTGCTGTTTCACGGTCCTAGCAGAGGGTCCTAAGTAGCATTTCTTGAGCTTTATTTAGTATGCACGAAAATCACCAGGCACTTTACTTAAAGATAGATACTCAGACCCATCCCACTCCTGGTCGGAGATGCAAATTTAGTAGGTCTGGCATGAGGCTGTGAATTCTCTTTTTTTGTTGATGTTGATTTTTTAAAAAATAGCAAGACTGCTGTGTTGCCCTGGCTGGCCCAGCCTGGAACTCCCTTTGTAGACCAGGCTGGCCTTGAATTCACAGAGATCCACCTGCCTCTGTCTCCCAAGTGCTGGGATTAAAGGCATGCACCACCATACTCAGCAAAAAAGTAAATAAAATTTTTTTTAAAAAAAGACTGAGTATGGGAGCTGGGGAGATGGCTCAGCGGTTAAGAGCACTGTCTGCCCTTGCAGAGGTCCTGGGTTCGAATCCCAGCATTCACATGGTGGTTAACAACCATCCAGTTCCAGGGAATCCAACACCCTCTTCTGTCCTCCACAGGCATTGTACAACACGGGTGCTCTCACATACATGCATGCAATACACACATACACATAAAATAAAAATAAAACAAAATATTAAAGGACTGAGTATGGGGTTGGGGAGATAGCTCAGTAGTAGAGTGCTTGTCTAGAATGTACAAGGCCCTAGGTTTGATTCCAGCACCACAAAGGACCAAGCAGGGTTTTTGTTTGTTTGTTTTTGTTTTTTTGGTCTTTTTGAGACAGTGTCTCTCTGTAGCCCCAGCTGACCTGGAACTCACTATGTAGACCAGGTTGGCCTTGAACTCAGAGATCTCCTTGCCTCTGCCTCCCAAGTGCTGGGACTACAGGTGTGTGCCACCACACCTGGCCCAAGCAGTTTTTGAGTTACGAGACTGGAGCAACTGGGTGGTTCTGCCGATCTGGACCAGGTTTGAGTGATCTCTGTTGGATTTGCTCAGGTATCTGTAGTCAGTAGGTGGGTTTTCTGGGGAACACTCTGGTGCAGATAACTGCACTCTTGTGACTTGGAGCTACATCTAGCATCCTCAGTTGCACATGCAGTGGTTA